AATGGCTGGAAGGAAAGGGGGGAGATGCGAATGAAACGCCTAACCTGGGTTTTTACTGCATTTAACTGGAACGAACTGGGTTTCCAGAGTGTGGAGAGCTGTCTGTGACTTTAATGAATTTCCTTTTCGATGTTAGTGAGTGATTGGAGGGGCTGTAAAAGATCTATAGGCTGTAGGGGTGACCTGTGCCGTTGCATAAGGCCTGCGGATCCTCTCCTCTGACCGCTGTTGCCTGGGAAGTTAATGTTTCAGTCTACGGTGAGGTTTGTATGGTGGAACTGTGAAACGTCCACTAAAAACTGTCACGCAGCTCGGGAATAAAGTTAAGGCCCAAAAGGATTGCTTGGATGGACACAGATGGAGTGAGAGGGGGCTGGGGTGGGAAAAGCACCCGGGTGTGGGAATGGAGGGCGTGCTCCCTGCCGAGCGTGTCTCGGTAGCTGTTGGATAGAACTTTTAGAAAGTCTGTTATTTTATCCTGTCAATAATTACAAGGGTTTACATTGGTTATGACTTAAGAAAATAATAATTTAAAAAAAAAAAAATTAAATAGCAGAGTGGAACCTGATGGTTCCAGACTCAAGAGAACTTTGAACGAGCTGGAAGCCCTGAAGATGCCGTGCCGTTGGTGGGCGGCTGGGGCAGAGGGAGCCGAGCGAATCCTGCTCCCAGCCCCGACGGCTGCCCGTCACCCCCCGCCTGCTCCGAGCTCTCCGAAGGATCTCTCCCGCTCCTTCCCCTCCGGCCGCCCCCCGCAGCGGGTGCCCACCGCGTTGGCCTTCACCAGGTACCCACCGTAGACAGCTGGGGCTGCCTGCCCCTCCTTTGGCTGCAGGTAGAGGTGGTACCCGGTGATGCAGCCCCTTTGCTGGTGGGCTGGGATTTCTTCCCATGAAACCAAGATACCGTTTGCCTGCGGTGTCGTGTACATCTGGGGCCCAGCTGATGGTGCTGCAAAACGTAAGACTGCCTTTTAAAGCTGAACTTAAGCTAGCCTAAAAATATCTGGAAGAGTGTTAGTGTGATTTACCTTTTGCTCTAGAGTATCCCCTGACTGATGCCACTTGTCCAGCTCTGTTGCGATAGAGTGCAAACACGCTGATCTGATAACACACGTTATCTTTTATGTGCTCTAAACAAAGAAATCAAAAGTGGACGGTTACGAGTTAAAGTAGTTACAGTCATGCCTAAAGTATTTACATCATAAAGTATTTGATAGGACAAGAGGAAACGGACTCAAGTTGGGCCAGGGGAGGCTAAGGTTGGACGTTAGGAAGAACTTCTTCACTGTTAGAGTCGTTAGGCATTGGAACGGGCTCCCCAGGGAGGTGGTGGAGTCACCGTCCCTGGAGGTGTTCAAAAAACGTTTAGATGTGGCGCTTCAAGACATGGTTTAGCGGGCATGGTGGCATCGGGTATATGGTTGGACTTGATGATCTTTGAGGTCTCTTCCATCCATAATGATTCTATGATCAGCTGCTTAAATCTGGGGTGAATCTTCTCATTGTTAATACATCTTTCATAAAGAAGGAAAAAAAAAAAAAAAAGCAATCTTCTCTGTGATCTCCTTGCCGTGCATCAGGCGAGTGATGTTAGCACCCCTAAAGGGGGAAGGCCCTGGTTTCCTCGTGAAGCAACAGCTGCCGGCAGACCTGTACCCTCCAAAGGAAACCTTGGGCCGCGTGGTGTGCTCCGGGTAAAGGGAGGAGGTGAAGAGCTGTTACCCCGCTTGCTGCTCTAAGATGGGAGGCGCAGGGTTTGGCTACGCGTGCGGTCACTGCGCAGGCAGGAGAACCTCATGCCCTGTGTCTTCCCCGTGACTCCGTGTGAGCATCCTCCCCCGGGCTGTTCCTGCGGGATAGGGGAGGTCGGCGGGGACTCGTTTCGCTCCTTTCCAAAGCAGAGCACAAAGCCCTGGGCTGCCTACGCTGCTTTTCCCAGCTCGTTCCAGCGCGGGGAGGTGAACACCTTGGTGGCACAGCACCGGCACAGGGGACAGGAAGGACTCCCGAGGGTAATACTGGCTGTCATCCCGTCGTAACTTCGTAGCTACCTGGTGCGCAGGACACCGGCACATGGTCTGGATTAGTAACCAACAATTAGTGGAAAGGAAATTGTCTTTTCTTAAGCCTTTGATCTCTTGTACCTCTAGCTGGCTTGTTTCATGTTGGAGGGATTGGGTTTTTTCAGAGATGTTTTACTTATCAGATCTAAATCTCAGCTGCGAGTGACTGAGCCCGGAGCAGCCACGGATTGGGGTTTTTTTTCTTCCTGTAGAGAAAGCTCTAAGAGCTGTCGTCTCCGATGCAGCATTAGTAAAAATTAGAATCTGACTTGTTCTTTAAAAAGCTTTCCAAGTAAACTGGTACCTCCGTGGTACCCTACCCCGAGGCGGTTGTTACCTGCTATCACCGCGGACAGGTTGGATGCTGGAAGCTTGACCCAGGCTGGATGGGGCTCGGGGTGCGTGGTCCTCGGCGAGTCTGCCCACGCCACCACGTACCCGCTGATGGACGCGGTCCCTCTGATGGGCGGTTTCCAGGTGACGAGGATGCTGCCGTTTCCCACGGCTTCGGCAGAGACTTTCTGAGGAGGAGGTAGATCTTAGAGGGGAGAAAGAGCAACCAAACAAAAAAAGACACCGTCAGCCCAAACTTGCCTGAACCTCAAGTGGACTCGGTAAGTTTGATCTATGTGTCATCCAGCTTGGCACCGTGCGCAGCATAAAACTAAACTGCAATTGAAAGAAAAGGTCTTTATGTGAGGGTGACCGCTACGCTGGTATTCTTGTCTGGTCTGACGGTGCAGCAGTTTGAACACACAGAGCACGGCGCCTTTGTACCAGCCCCAAGCCCTGAGAAGACGCCGTCACGGCACATCCTAACACCCCGCTCCCGCGACAGAGCCACGAACTCACATCGGCGCCACAAGACCGAAGCTGCTGCTTTCACAGCCAGGGCTGCGTTACTTTTTCCTGCAGGAGAAAATGTTGGGAAAGTCATCGATTATTTTTTTTTTTTAATCTGTAGTATAAAACCAGCACCTTTTCCAAACAGTGTTTCCGACAAATACAATTGAACTGAGCCCATGAAGCAGTTCTTGTCCTACTGATTCCAAATAATCAGACACCAGTGATGTTTCTGCACCGATCCTGTCCCTAATTAGTGAAGGCTCGAGTAATCAGTGCAGTCCGCGAGCTGAGGAGCTCTGCGTCCACCCCAAAGGAGGCGAGCATCCCGCTGGTGTTCGAGGCAGCACCGGGAAAAGCTGAAATACTCAGCAACGGCTTTGTCACGGTTTTACTGACGTGACACCGGGACAAGTGCAAGTAGAGAACTGCCTCTTTGCACAAACTGCCTGAGACCACGAGGCTCCGTCGTGCCCGGTACCGGCACAGGAAATTTGGGGCTGGGTGAGTTCAGGGAACAGTCGCTAATTTGGCTGCGTGGGTACAACCGAGTGCAATTTCACAGGAGATAAAGCTTGCGTGACTTCCCCTCACCGCCGCCTTCCCTTCAGCCCTACCACCTCTCGCAGGCAAGAAAAAAAAACTTTTTTCTTTTTTTTTTTTTTTTTTGGCATGGTTAATTTTCTGCTGTGTCAGGTGCCTGGATGGCTGCCGGCGTGGTTTCCCCGTGTCGGCAGAAGGGGTTGCGGTGAAATTACAGCAGTGCTAACGCGGGGCAACTTAACGTGTCGTGAAACTGCACCCCTGGCCACCGTGAAAACTGAATCTGCCGATCCCTGAAGATTCATTGAGATGGACCTTGATGGGCACAAGGCGGCGGGACCGCCAGACTTCCCCGGTGTGTAGCACAAAGCATTATTATTCCCGGTGGCCCAGACCCGGCAGAAGCCCTTACCCTGGATGCCCAGCTCGGTCAGGATGGACGCAGGGGGGGAGCTGCCCCTCGAGTTCTCGGCGGTGACCGTTATCCTGTAGTCCCCCCTCGGCGTGACCCTGGCGTAGCTGGTTCGGGAGGTAAGGTGTGCGTCTGCCCGCCGGCTCTGCCGGCCCAGGGCTTCGAAGGTCACTGTGTACCCCAGGATTCTTCCTCTCGCCTCCGACTTGCTCAAAGCCTGCGAGCAAAGTGCAGTTGTTAACTCTCTTCTCCTCCCGATGAGCAGCGACTGCAGAAAGCCGACGGTACCGGAGCGGGGTGCCCTGGCAGGCTGCCGGGAAGGTTTCGGACCTGCTCCTGGAGGAAGGTGGTGTTGGCCCTTTGTCAACCAAAAATTTCACCTCCTTTTAGAGCCTGGCCGCAGGGGATGGCTTCAGAGCATCGCCCTAACCCACGGGCTCAAGCTGCCCCGTTTAAGTGAGGATCTTTCACTCAAAGGTAACTTTTTCTCTTCCTTTTCTGTTCTAATAATTAAGGGGTCCTTTACAGCGGCAGTGTTACTTGCTGAGCTCCGGCACGCACCAGCTCGTGTTCTTTGGGAACCCGTTAGCGGTTTTTACTTTCTTCCTTTCTGAAAGCTGGAGGAAACAAGCAGTGCTACAGAGATGGCTCGCTCACTGGTTGGGACTGCTGTCTTCTGTAATACTCTGATATATATTTTTTTTTAAATGAGCTTAAAATCGGTTGGCCTGAGGTCCAGCTAATGCATTTTAAAGGTAGCACAGTTTCCCCATCAGTACCAACCTGAGAACACGTGTTCGTAAGCAAACACGCACTTTTAGTGCTAAACATATCTTTTTTTCCAAAGAAAGCTAGTGTCCTTGCCGCAGAATTTCCCTTTTCCACCACGGTTTTGCACATTTGTGTTTTGCACATTTTCCCCTTGGATTTTGCAGCTGCCCAGCCCGACAGCCCGTGCTCTCCATTCCCAAGCCTTATCCCAGCTCCATCCCTGCTCTGCCCTTGGTGACCCGCGGCGCCCAGCCACGTGAAATCCGTCCATTCCCTAACGGTAGGGCCAGGAGCACGCGTTGACCTGAGAGTCTTTCTTTAGGTCTTTTTCCTGTTTGATTCCAGCTTAGTGAATTTGTTAGTGACTTTTAATTTAGTGAGATTAGAAAATTTAATGAGCGAAGCTGTCTTGCTGTGAGCCGCTGGTTTTCCAAGCAGCAATCTGGCTGGGGACAGGGAAACACACGGCCTCCTCCTGCCTCGGGTCTGAATTCAGGCCATGCTTTTCACAAGGGGGGGGAAAGAATATTCACTGCGCGGCTGGATTGGTAAAAATGAGCCGGTTTTGCTTTTGGGAAAATCCAGATTTTTGCTTAAAGCCACCATAAAGAATTATTTAAATTCAACCACTTAGAACAGACGTCTCGGCAAAGGCGGTCTGCGCTGTCCCGTGTCACACCGCTCGCTGGTTTTTCCCCCCCGGGTGCCTGCAGTTGTACTCTCAGTTTCCTGCAGTGTGTTTTTTTTTTTTTTTTTTTTTTTTTTTTTTTTTTTTTTTTTGTGATAACAAAACAAAAAAAGGAAGAGGGGGGGAAAAAAAACCCACTTTCAAAAATAGGAAAACATTTGCAGCGTTACAATGGCTTTGGCAGTGGCTCGGGACAAAGGCATTGCTGAAACCACTCCGAAAGCCTGCTGGAATTCAATTGGGAAGCCTTTCTTTGGTATTTGTGTGAAAATGTGGGAAGGTATGTTGGTAGTACGTTGTAGTGAGGCTGTCGTGAAGACTGTAAGAGCAATGCATTGCACCCGTTTTCTGGGTGATGCTGCAGGAAGCTGCTCGGTACAGAAAGCGTCGCCAGCTCGCTGCTGCAGGTTAAAGGTCTGAAAATTAAATGGCTTAAAGCCGCGACGGCTGGGGTCACAGAATCGCATGAGAATTTCTGCTTTCACTTGCAGCGTAGGGCGTGTTGGTGTGGGGAGAAGGCACAGCGTTAGTTGGGAGGTTAACTAGAGATTGCAAAGTGGAAGTCTAAGATATCTGTGCTTAAAAAAAAAAAACTTACTGCTTTGAGCACTGGGCCGGTGATGCTGGAGTAACTCAGCACCAGTGACAGGGCTTGGTGTCACTGGGAGTGTTGGTACAGCAGACCTGGCGTAAGCCTTTTTTCCCCTGAGCTGTACAGTAACGTGGCATTTTTACCCGAAAGCTGGGTTTTTAATCTGAATTCTTTATGAACTTTCCCTTGCGGGGCCTCAGCTCCCAGGAGGCATTCCTCAGCAGACCCAAACCACCGACTTCTTTCGACTCGGAGCTGGTCCACGTTCAGACCTGCAGCTCTGTTATTAGCAAACCCTTCTGGGGGCGGGTTGCCCCTCTCCCACCTCCCACCTGTACAGAAAACCAAGTTCTCCCTGGTGCCGCCGTACGGCCAGAGCCTCCACCGCCCGTCCATCCACACCGCGGGGACGGGGACGGGACCCTTTCACTCGCCCAAACTTCATCCAGCTCTTAAATTTTTGAGAGTTTGGTCACCTTAAAGGGCTATTACAATAAACTGCCTCCTCCGCCGCCCCTATTCTTCATTGCTCTGCTCTTCGTGTAAGCAAAACAGAGCAGAAGGACCTCTGAAGCAGCCCAGATCCCACAGCAGACCCGCAAGGTGTGTGCCTACGGAGACCACGGCTCTTGGTGTCCCCCAGAGCTCCTGGCCTGACCGCCTAGGGCGGCCGTGGCAAACAACGAGGAGGCGTAGAAGGAAGAGAGCGAGATGTTAATTAGCAAACCAATTAGGAAGTCTGTAAGGTCGTTCTCTGTCCCTTTCGATGTATCAGCAGGGACACAGGTCGCCTTCTGGAAAGGGGGAGGGAAGGTGTGTCTCCGAAAGGTGGTGGCTGAGCTGTGATAGCCCCACATCTGCTCACCGGTGCGATGCGCTGGGAACGTGGTGTCCGTCCAGCGTGACGGGAAGTTTGGGGAACGATAAAAGGGAAATTGTGGGTAGGAATGTAGGAAATTGTAGGCAGAGCTGCTGGATCTCCCGGGGGAGGCAGGCCTGGGGTGGCCAAGCTGGTCCCTGTCCCTCTCGCTGGGCACTGGTAAAAGCCCTGTGCTCTCCTCGGGCTCCGTCCTTCCCTGCCAACACACGAACCAGAGTTCCCCCTCTAACTTTGCCAATTATTACTGCCTCTGCTTAGGGTTCGCTTAACTTACCTTCCAAAAAAGAGAGATGTTCTGCTGTTGGGAGTCCAGGTCCTGCTGTCGGTACCAGACGTCCAGGAGCCCGGTCGGCGCTGGTGAAGGAGAAGGTGAGCGGCATTAACGGTCGTGGTTTGAAGCAAACAAACAAACAAGGCAGCGAGTAGGCGAAGCGAGTAAAAATCGGGAGACAATTAAAATTTAAGATTTAAATTGTCCCTGAAGTGATGCAATACGTGATAACCCATATGTGCTGTCGCAGCCGGAGTTCAGCCCTGTTGATGCTGGTACTCCTGAAGAGAAGAAGCCATAAACCCGAGAGGGAGTTTTGCTCTGCTGGTGACTTTATCCTGCACTTCGCAGCCAGGACGGCTCCCAAGGAAGCCTACACATCCAAGTGATGGAATTAGCTCTCATCTTTCCATAAAAGTTGAGGCTAGGTAAGGTCCTTGGGGTTGGCTACCTCACCCCTAAAACAAGGGGCAGCCCCAGGTGACAGGGTTTGTAGGAGCTGTAGGATTTCGCTGTCCGGCTCTAGGCAATAAGTGCCTTCGACGGCCAGCTGGGCACGACATCGTCAGAAGTCGCTTAAAAGCCCCATTCTTTCCACGATTCTCCTGAGAGTCTCGCAGTGACTGGACACCCTGGATGTGTTGAACAAACCTTCCAAAAGAGCACTGACGCAAACTTATGGCTGCAGAAACGGGCGAACGTGCTCCAACAGTTCAGCATCAGAGACGCGCAGGTAAAGCAAGCACGCGTGACAAAGGATAACGAAGCTTGGTTCCTCAAGGTCCCTGACCAACCTAAACTCATCAAATTCAAATAATAATTGCTGCTCACAACCCGAGCAGCAGGCAGCTGTTGCGCAGCCCCAGCTGGAATGGGGCTGCCTGCTCTTTGCTGGGTTCGAAGACAGAAAAAATCCCCCGTGCCAGGAATGGTGAGAGCTATTTGTCCTCTATTAACTGCAAATAGTGACTGGAACAGAAACAAGAAGCAGGACCGACGGAAGAAATAAAACCAGAGCACACTCCCTGTGAGGGAGGGAGGAAGGGGCAAGCTCAAAGCAGGGAAAAAATAAAATATGGGATCGCATCTGTTGGACTCCAGCCTGCATTTTAAAGTTCATTTCACATGTGAACCACACGAATTAGCTGAGGGGGAAGGAAAAAAAAAAAAATAAAGCTCACTTAGAAACGGGGCTTGCCCACAAGTTTTGTGGCAGGTCATGCTTAGAGAAACAGGGAAAAAATTATCGCATGGAAAAAGTCTGCTCCTGAATCTGCAGAAGGCCAAGCTCGCGGGTAGAACTTCAGCTCCTTCGGAGAAGGGCAGCCACGACGGATGCAGAGCTTCTCATCTGCAGGCTCCCCTTGCTGTCCCCTAGTCTGAGGACAGAAATCCTCCTCGATTAGCTCAAAAGATTCTCATTTTATAGCACGGGCTGGGTAGAGGGATGATGCCCACGAATGCCGTCGCAAGCCAGGGTGCATCGAGAAGGTTGAGAAAACTGTTGAGAGGAAGGTGGGGGAGGGAAGTAAAGTTCACACCTTTTGCATCAATCAATGATTCTTGCAGAAACTGATGCTGTCACTAGTGGTAAATAGCATGAGTAATAACGGCACCAGCCTGAGGAGCTTATAGTAATTCATAAAAAAAAAAAAAAAGCAACGGAAGCCAAGTAGGAGATGAAAGGAGGGGATGCCAAAGCAGCCGACACATCTTTGTTGAAACACAAACTTCTGAGAAGCTTTCTTCTCTCGTAAGAACTGCAAGTTTGTGCAGCTGCGGGTGAAGGCAGGCAGGTACGTGAGCGTGCGGCCAGCCCAAGGCAGCCAACGCCGGAGTTGGCACAGACGAGCAGCATTGCCCTCGGGCTGGTGCTGCCTCTCCCTGGAGGCTGCTGTGCCCTCCTCGGGGACAAAACCGCCCTTTCCTCCCCCCGTTCCTGGTGGGGTCTCTCCCCAGCGCCTGGCCAGGTTCTGCTCTGCTGGGGTCTCCGGTGACCCCACGGCGTGGTGGTGGAGTCTCCTGGGGAGGCTCCAAGTGAAATAACGTCTCTACTTGGGAAAAGATGCCTGGGCAAAACGAACCCGTTCTGTTAAAACCTGCCGGCGGCAGCAGAGCCGAGAGAGTCCAGGCAATTTCCCAGCCAGTTCATTCAACTCCTACGCAAGCGGTCGAGCAAGCTCGAGATCCCAGGGCGTGCTGCCCGAGCCGTGGCTCGTTGCCACCCGAGGGTGGCAGAGCCGTCGTCCTGACTTGAGTTCTGGGCTGGTTGCAGGAATTCGGTAACACGCTCAGCTGTGAACCAACAGGGATGATTGTTCTTTCCCCAGCTAAACTGCGCAAACTGTCTGCCCTTTCCAGATGTGTGGCGATGCAGCAGGCCACTACGGCTCCGGGAAAATTCCCCCAACCTTCAACAACATCAAATGAACATATCCTTCAGACCTTCTCCGGGAAATTCCTGTTTTGCAAGAAACTCGAACAGCTTCAATTTTCGTTCATTAAAAAAGCACTTCTCTTACAGAAGTTACTTCCCTGTTGGCCCTGGGTCCGGAGCTACAGAGACTTTGCAAACCAAGCAGCGAAAAACCCAGCAGCGTCTTGACTTCAGTAGCTAAAATTTCCACTTGTTAGCAAACGTGAGAGCCAGGCTTAGCGCGGGAGACACCGACTTGTGTTACCTGCTTCGGGGGTCCGGGTTCGGTACGTGCTCCAGTTACTCCACAGTCCTCGCTCGGGGTGGATTTTGCAGCTGACCTGAAACTCGTAGGCTGTGTGAGGCTCCAGACCGTAAAGGCTGCATTTTTCCCTGTTTAAGCTTTCAATCTTTAACGAAGATAAAGGACGTGTTACATTAAACTCACAAGGAAATAGAGGTTGAAGGCAGTGACAGACGGAATTACTAATGCCCGAAGGAAGGCCAGCCAGTCAAAACACATCTTTAAAAAACAATGGGGAAAACCCTGATCTGAGGCAACTTTAATAACTGAGAGAATGATGCAATGAATCACCAGGCTTGCAGATCTTCATCTGAAAAATCCCTCATTTAATTATGCAAAGAGAACCCATTTTCTGTTCGCCTGTGGTACTCGACTTCAAACAATACATTTCTTTTACCACTTGAAATAAAGGCAAAGACCTCCAATCGACGTTAGGGAAGGTGCGGACCTTTGGGAACTCCACGCCTGTAGCCATGAGCTACAACGAGCAGATCCGATCGTGTTCCAGTAAAGTGCTGGGTCAAACATAACCTCGGCTGCGTCAGTGCGTCCTACAGACACTTGGCATCAGGGGAAATATTCACGCACACCCTTTTTCATGGGATCAGTCGTTCACCTTCGTTCAGTTTTACACCAGTGATGGTTTTGACCGGCAGGCAATAGTTTTTCTTAAATATGGTATTAAAGAGCAGACAAAGGCAAATTGGGACCAAGTGATTCCAGTAAGAAATAACGATATTAAAGCAACCTCCAAGGCTCATAACCTCCCTTACGCAGAAGGGGATTACCGTGCTCCAGCTGTGCCTGCCAAGCGGACGGAATCTCAGCCGGCAGTGCCGCGCTTGCGCTTCCTCGCGCCAAAAAAAGGTGCAGTTGGTCACCGAAGAATTTTCAAATTCCACTAAAAAGTTGGGAGGATGTGGTTTCACTAGCAGCAAAAACAGAAAGAAGCAAACAGCGCTCAGATACGCAGCACAGCTCTGAACGGGGGAGTTTTAGGTGGAAAATAGCATGACTGGGTTAGACTGGATGGATACTTTTTCTGAGAGGTTTAAATGAGAAAGTGCTCAAAATGTTTTTCACGTCTTTCTAAAGAGCTGGGGCTAGCGGAAAGGCGGCAAGTAATGCATTTACCTATGTCTATTAGCATGAACGCGAGCGGCTGTGAGAAAGCACGTCCCAGCTCATTGAAGGCGGCAACCACAACGGTGTACGTAGAGTCGAAATTCAACTTGCTCAGAGCCAGCGAGCCAAACTTCTTGTTCGGACTTTCTTCTGAAGCACACGAGACATCTGTCCCGTTTGATAGCCTGGAACAGAAGGAAACGGCCCGGTGAACGCTCTCCTGTACCCCAAGAGAGCTAAGCCTGGGGTGCGTGGGGGCTCGGCTCGCGTCCCCGTACGGTCGTGCTGCTCCGGAGGCTCCTGTCCCCGCAGGTTGGCTTTCAAGGGGGGACCTCGGCACTGAAAGCCGGGTAGGTCGTCTGCCCCTTGAGAGATCCGTCTGCTTAAATACAGCCGTTACAGTAAATACTCCTCTAGCTAAATGGGAAGGAAAGGTGTCGTACCGCTTTTTGGGTTTAGTTGCAGACCAAGGAAATACTTCTGCATTTCCACTGAGCTGCAAGTATGTGAGGAGGTTCCTTTTAACAGTGCCACCGTTACCTAGTATCTCTCTATGACTGCGCAGAGGTGTTGGCACACAGGATTGAGGGGGATGATGGATTGGGGAGGGGGGTTTTGGTTGTTTTTTACAACAAAGTTAGTGATTAAAAATGTAATTTAGCTGCAGCGTAACAGTCAGACCGCATGACTTCAAACACAACTGTTAATTCTCAGTCCATCCTTCAACCCATTGCCTTGGGTAACTCATTTAGCTTCTCTGTGTATTTTCTTCCACCTGAATCAGAGCTGTCTGCATCGTGTTGCTTCAGGCTGACCTTTTGTATTTTGTAATATTTTTAATAACTTACCAGCAAGCACGGCTATATCTCTGTGTTACGACAACTACAGGACTCGTTATCCACACTTCCCTACCCTCCCGTACATTACCCGTATATTCTCCTCCTGCTTAAAGAGCAGCACCAGGTTTCTACAAGCTGCTATTTTGGCCAACAGAAGCAGGTGAAGAAGAAGAGGAAGGTGAAGAAGAGCGAAGAGCAAGCCTTGCAGGGCGAAGAGATGGTCAAGATGGAGCACCTCGGAAACAAATGGGGACTGGTTCAGCCTACCCAGCAGTTTGCGAAGGGCAAAATGAATCCGTTCCACTCGGATATTTGCGCGAATAAAGGTCTCTAACAAGGTTCCTCCCGATCGTGGTGATTCCCAAAACCCAAAAAACCCCAACTCTGAGATACGACTACAGGTGCTAAAGACGGTACATGCCTGTGTTACTTACTGTATTACGTACGTAGTGTTGATGTGCGTGAGCCTGCCTTTGTCCCAGGTGCAGGTGGGACGGCCGTCTGTCCCGTACTGGATACACGACACATTTCTTGGCTCATCTGGAGGATCTTAAACAGATGTTTTTGTCAGAGGCTTCCTTAAAGCTGTTGGTAGGAGACATTTTAAGAAATGCTAGGTTTGTGGTTTAATTTTTTTTTTTTAAAAGAGTTTACAAACAAGGAAGTGCAAAATATTCAGGCTGATAATTTTCGTATGTGGCAACAGCTGAGTCTGTGATCTCTGCAGCCGGTGGAGACCTCTGACGCTTGAGCAAAACCCCAGTGATTTCACGAGGGTGCCAGACGAACACGGGTGCTTACCAGCTCTCCAGACTGGGCACCACAAGCTTCGCTTGAAGCAATCAACCGTTATTCTTATTTAAAAAAAAACCCCAAACCAACAGTACTGATACATCAGAGAGTTGCTGCAGCAGCATCAGCTCATCAGGCTCGAAGAAAATCTAAAATTTCCGCAGAATTTTTCTTGCAAGTCCCCTGTGCCCCGGAGAGACTGGTGGGTGTCAGGGCTAGAACAGGAGGGAGCGTGAGCTTTGCTCTGAGCAGGCAGTTTTATTTAGCATCTCCCTGTTTATGAATAGCAGACTCGCACAGTTCGAGCCAGGAATATTTTAAACAGAAAGAGCCCCTAAAAGTCAGCAGCTTTTCTGGAAAAGGCCACTCGCTGCTAGTTTCTAACACGTCTCAGAGGTACCACAGGCAAGGTTTAAGAACAAGGAATAATTAAATTCTCCTTACTTCCAGATTCTAGGTGGATTCCACAAATGAGTTTTCTCTTGTATTCACAAACTATTTTGCACGTAAACATGTGTTTGCCGTGCGTACGGACTCGAAACTTGGTGCTTACGGAACTGCCGTAATTGCTGGTTAGTTCAGAGCTGTTAAAGAAAATCGCGATCCTGCACCGCCCAGGGTGTTGCAGGGGTTTCAGCTGGCATGAGAGGGTGATGCTGGTTCCAGGCTGGACGTGAGAAGCGGTGTTAGCAGTCATATTCCCTTTGTCACATATTTCTGCGGTGCCACGGGGAGGTGCGCGAGCAGTCACGCTCCCTTTGCTGCACCCTTCTGCAACAGAGTGGGAAAACCAACCCTTAGCACAAATACATCTCTTGTCTCCTACAACACGCTGCGCTCGAGGAGGAGAGTCTCCCCAAACTGAGAGTGCAGGAATTCCTGCCTCTGCACGGTAATTCGTGGGACATGGCTGTGCCCAGTCTTCACCCAACTGATTAACTGGGGTGAGAACCCAAGGGGTAGCGACCCGTCATCATGTACAAAAAGCACAGCCCCAGGCAAAAATCTGTATTGGAGCTCTTTTTCCGTTGCGGTTCAAGGTGTTTCTGTAAAGCAGTGGCAGGCATGTCTCCACTGAAGAGACAAGGAAGACTTTCCATGAGTTGCCAAGACCTCCCCTCGCACATCCCGGAGCGGGACAGCCAGCCCCACGCTCGGCGCGGGAGAGCCGGCACTCGCTGGCCGACTCCGCCATGCTTCTGCTCTGGGCAGACAAGCTAGGGGAAGATGCTGGAGCACCACTTCTCCTTACCTAGGGCTTCTGACAGTCTCTGGGGACGCCAACGGTAGAGAGGTTTTTCTCACGTAACCCTGAACTAAACCAAATAACCTCCCTGCGTAACTCATCACCGACTATCTGCTATACGCCGCCTTCGACGCGCAAACGAAACGGGTTTGCGGTGCTAATGGTGCGCA